AGGGCATATTTGAAATCTACACATATGACTTTTGGAAAGCTGTCTGTAGAAATTTTTCCCATAATTCCTTCCATAGGGTAGATAATTAGCATTTAATTTTGCCATTTTTGGACAAGGGTGCATTGCAATGAGTGCCACACCTAGACCCCAATACCGACAAAGCCCAAATTTTACGTGGAACGAGTTGAGATTATAGGTGACCTAAATCCAAGAGATGGGTACGCAGACCCTTGTAGTCTAGGAGGAGAAGCGGTAACGGTGACTTGGCGGCGGAGCCGCAGGAGCCGGCGGAGCCGGCGGAGCCGGCGGAACATACGGGTCGGGACTAAAACCATGTGTACCGCCAGCGCCTACGCTGGTGGTACAATTAATACAAAGCTGTCAATAAACTTTTGTGGATAACCACTGATTATTAGTCCCTTTAGAAGAATATGCTTCATCAAACCATAATAGGGATTGTCAAACAGCAAGACATGCATAGGGCTGATTTCACAAATGCTGCCTTCAAGATTGAAATTTTTCAGTCTGCCTAGAGTCAATGCAAGATAATAGTTCTTCAGTGAAAATATGCCCAACTTCATGCCATCCCGTAGCCCTGGCTTCCACACTCAAATGCCACCCTTAGTCTGTTCCCCAACTCCTCTCTGGTTGGGTACTCTGGCAACTTCAAGAAGTTGATGCTAAAAATATAAATGAAATCGAAGTGCAATTTTTTTCACTTCTTATCTATTATAGAAGCAAAAATGTACATTAGATTGATAATAAGATAATAATAGTAAATCTATTAAGCACAAGCTAATTTCATTCAATGTCATACAGTTAGTTAACAGCCAACTTGGTAGGAGGCCCTCTTCAGACTGTGAGTAGATGTTGTTACTCACTGACCACTTTTTATCTAGCAACTGAAGTCCATTAAAAACCAATTGCAATAAATGTTTGGAATATTTTTTGTTGTTTTGGCTTTTATAGACTGTAAGAGCAGTTGAAAACTAAAATGCATATTTATTCAACAATTATGAAACATGAATTAATAAAAGTTATATTATATTGATAAAACAATGGTCCAGGGGGTTGTACTTTCACTATGTAATACTACTCACCAAGTGCTTGCTGTAGGCAGAAGCTGTGGGGTGTAGTTTGTAACAGAAATGGTAAACTTCTGGGGTCCTCCTCCTCCCAAAAGGTTAGCAAACCCTCCATGGGGAACACGAGAACTGGTTGAAAAAGAGAACTGGTTGAAAAAAACTGGTAATAACTTCAAATATAACAACCTTTATACTAATATTCATAATGACTGATTTTGTAAAAGGCACATAATGTTCATTAATTCTAATTCACATCAACTCAATTACTGAAGCAACTTTTCCATTTCGTAACATTTTTTTCATTGAGGTGACATTATCATTTGCTGATATTAATGCATATACAATAATCATAGCTTTAACATAACTACGACCTTAATATTCAAAGGCTGAAAAATGTCTATTTCCAGATAGCAAGAATTTGTCTGGCTGATAATGGGTTTTCAGCAAAAGGCTTGAGCAAATATGGTGACAATTGCTGGTGAACCAATGGATCACAGGGTGCTAGCCTAAGGTAAGGTAAGTGACTTTAAGCTACCAGTGTTCTTTCCATATCAAATTATATTATTCTCATACCTGCCAGTCACAAACTGCAGTAGTAAAGCATTTTCATGCTGAGTAAATGTGGCTACTTCTTCCCAAAACCACTGGAATAATGAATATTAAATTGCAATATACCTTAGTACAAGTTAGTAAAAGAATGGGATTGCCAAGACAAAGGAAATCTGATCTGAAATCTAGATATACCAATTTATCTCATCCCTTAAATTACATATCCTCTCGATGGCATGTGTTTTCTTATACTGCACTACATGCATTCTTCATAAAAAAATCTCATAGCACCACATAATGAATCTGTGGATGCGAATAGACGTTTTATTCAAATCGTATGTGTACTAACAAACATTTTGTAATATGAATTTTTTTCCAAGCAATGTAGAGACTTCGTTTTTAGGGCATCATAAGTAATTTTTTGCAGCAGTTTTTGCTGTACCTTTACAACATTTGACTCTTCATCACATCCATTGTACACCGTGTTTGCTTTCCAGTCATCCACATCTATTTCTGGAAGACCAGACAACATAAGTTCCTGGAAAAAAACAATGAGGCTTTTATGTTAAGACTACATTTATTCCCTCACATCACATTAGTATTATACTATAGTATACTTATTAAAATTAAGTGTCATATACTGCCTTCTCATTTCTTTTTTTTTATAAAACTATCTGCTCTGTAAACAAATAAAATTAGAATGTATTAAAAACTGGCACATCAATCAGAAAATGTATTATTCTGATAATAATAAATTGTACAGAAGTCTTACCAGTTCATACTCATCAAACATTTGCACCAATGATTGTGGAATAAATTCATGAAATCCTCTGAGAAAACTGTCAATCTGTGGTTGAATGGCCCTGGTCATCTTCAATTCAGTGACCAGCTGGACATACTCTTTCTGTAAATCAAATATTAAAAACAATATTTGAAATATGTCACAGATAAAATTTAGAAAGTGCTTTTTTATCTCTCATATATAATGTATTAAAAGTTTAGATAAAATCAATCAGATATCTTGAAATTTTTTGTCTAAAAAAAAACATTTGTATTAAAAAAATTGCACCAATGTCTGATTATATTTCACCTTGTTGGCATCTGTCACAGGGATGGCTCTTCCCCCAGGTTTGAGATCTACTTCCTGTACATCTCCAAACACGTCTGTTTCCACACTGAAGGTCAGACCCAGACCTAGTTCATCTATGCTATGGTCCAGTATCCACTATAAATAAGGGCACAGACTTGGTCAATTTACAGATTTCAAAATATCCGTTCATAAAATGAAATGACCGTAAATTTAATGTCAAGGCTGTATTTATAAAACACAAAGTTTCTTGATAACCCAGATATATAATCTTTATGGTGTATATATATATATAAGATGGAACAAAGTCATTTACACATGTTATGGAGTAATGTCCATTATGTTTTATATTGTTCACTTACCTGCAGATTTTTAGCATATTCTGGATCAATAGAATTCACATCTTTGTAGTTGACAGGTATGCCTGAAAAAGAAAAATACTTAACTGGTATTTTTCAAATATCAAATAATATCAATTCAAAAGTGTAAGCATGATTTTGTTTACCTATTAGGACCCCAAAATTTCTTTGAAAAAATTTAGTAAGGAAAATCCTCAAAAGAGAGTTGATTTAACACAGCTCTTCTTAACACAATGTAAAGAGAACAGGGGGATTCAGAATTGCACTTTTTAACTAGCAGTTCAAATGGTTTCATAACTGGGTAACTCTTACCTAATATATGCTTGTAGAAAGACCGTGTAAAGTAAACACTCAGTAAATGTCTGTGATACAGAGCTAGTCCCATTGATTTGCCAGCAAATTGGAAATAGTTCAGATGGTCTGGATTGACCGAGGAATTGCTGTTAGGCTGGAATGTGCTTCCTATATTCACAAAGAAAACATTCAATTAATTATCTGCACTAGATGTATTATTGTCACCATTTGAATGAAGTTGAATCTATTTGTTTCACAGGGCTGAAATTATACATGCTAGATTTTTTTTTACCAAAAACACTGGTATAAGTCCAGGACCTGCCATTCTGATGGAAAAAAAAAGCTGCAGCTATTGTTTCAGTTAATTCATTAACTAATAACTATACCATCAATATAAACAATTTTTTAATAATAAAAAAATACAAACTTAATTACATACATGTATATTTCACTATTAGTCTTTTAACTTACCATCACTAGATTGTGTAAACAAGGCATAATCTGGGTTAAGAATTTCTCTAGATAGAACATCAAACCACTCCTTGACAACACCTTGACCCTAAAAAAATTAATTTTCCCTTTTGTACCATAAAAATATCAATGCACCTTCTACAATGCTTAAAATTTCATATCATTGGCAACAGAAAGTACAATAAAATGAATAAAAAACATAAAACCATCAAATATATAATTTTAAAACACTCAAACATTGTAAACTTCTTTGAAAGTATGGTTTTTTCAATAACATTTGAAAAGTCATAATACTGAAAACCAGTTAATTTATGTAGAAAATAGCCATAAAAGTATCCACAAAATAGAGCAGAGATGTAACACATGCAACTTTGAACCAAATGTAATTAAGAAGCAGATATATTAATCGTACCATTCCTTCTTCTCCACTAAACTTCACAGCAATTGTACTCTTAAGTTTTTCTGGATCTTTTCTCAATATCTCTTCACAACTTGACATAAACAGGTTATCTGCAAAACAAATGTCTTTTTATTAATTTTACTACTCTCATTGACATTATTTTTGTTATTTAAACACAGAAGCATTTTTTTTTCTATTAAGAACTGATGAAAATGATAATGAAAATAATAATGTGACCTTTAAATATAAAAGCAATATTATTAAAGAGTTTATTGATTGAATAGAAAATTGTCACTGTCAGCAAGGCCTTTTGACAAAGGACCAAGTTGTCATACCTCATGATCATTGGTAGATAAACATGTTTCACATTAGTCCCTTTAGAAACTATTTACTTTTCTCATTTCACAAAAGACAATGAAACAGCTATTTCTCTGTATGAATTTGTCATATAGCTGGGGCATTGACCAGTGATATCCACGAAACATTCCATATACCATACCTCTTCTAACTTGCAGGACATCCATTTCACTTAGAGCTGCATGGATCATACTGTCATCCCCTCCCCTTCTTTTGTGCAAATTAGAATAGAACCATTCCCTTCTTGCTTCAAATGGCTAAAATCATTCAAATAATGTATAAACACTCCATATTTTGCAACATTCTCATCATGTATTTCAAAACTCAAAATTTAGCTTGGCAAAAAAAATCCACTTTATAATCACAAGCTTTTCATTCATCTATTTTTACCTGAGATTTAATGATGTGCATAAACCTGGACATCAGTTCTGGACATTCCAACAAAAAGTGGAAATGGTCAAAAATAACTGTTGGATTCCTGAGATCAAGAAAAACACACAGATCATAAAAATATATGTACATAAATTGGAAAAGATATTATATTGATCTTGTCTTGTGATTTTATTTTAATAACCTCTGAGAAGCAACGCAGTCGACTATTCCCCTTATGTGAACTGAACAATAATTTAACATCTATGTTACAAGTGTAAAAAAACGAATGTGGGCCATGGTTAGCATTTGCAAACCCCAAGCTGGTATAAATTATTGAAAAATAATCTTGATTTCATGACAGAGGATATACTAATATATGAAATGACTCAGAATTGGATTTCTCAATACCTTGCTACTAAGAACTTCAGCACTTGATCATGTCGACAAACAAACTCAATAAACCGTGGGGATGTCATGCTGAAAAGTACCAAATTAAAAGTGATTTATTTAAACAATTATAGCTATATTAATTTTACATATCTTAAAAACCTAAAAACAAAGTCTTTAGGAACACAAGTTTTCTACCTAATCTGAAGGAAAGAGTATTGGATAATACATATTTATCAGTTACATATACAATTCTAATTATTAATTTAAAAAAGCACTTAAATGTCATCTCTTATTTTGTTTTGGTTAACACTTTCCATTAAAAACTTTCTGACAAGAGCAAAATAGGTTTTTCTCTCAGTATATCCACATTTCTTTTAACTTACTATTGTTGTGCTTGGCATTCACAGCAAGTATAATAAACTTGAATTACAGCGCAAATCCTTGGTGCAATTGCAGTGATCACATCTTGCTCATGTTCTTGCAAATCCACTTGAAACTTCTCCAGCTCCATGGATAACCTCTTTGTCACTTCACTAGCTAGCCTTCTCTGTTCTTGGGAAACATTATCTCCTGAATAAACTTTTGTGTCCAATTTTGAAACATGAAATTCAGGTTCTGTAGGTGGTTTTCCAGCATTTTCAAAAGAGTTATCGCCATCTTCACCATGTTCAGTGGAACTCTGACTTAATCTTGAGCCCACACTATGATAGCTACTGCGATCACTTCCTTCTGACAGGTCGGATAACCTTTTGCCACTGTCTTCTTTCCTCTCGATGCCTTTCTTTATCTCGGTGTGTAAGATGACCAGCCATTCCTCTAAACTGGACCATAACAACTCAAGTGGCTGGAAATGTGGAACAATCTTAGGTCAAATGCTAACAAATCACACATGGAATCTTGGACCAATTGCATATATGACGGGTCCAAGATAGAATGTCTACTGGTTATGCAAAAATTCACAAGGAAAAAATGCTTATAGCTTCACTATAGATAAGTAGCTAAATCATCATTCCAAGGCAACTGGCTGAAGAAATAAGTCAATCAAAAGAATAAGAATAACAACTGTGTTCGAGACAGCTGTTAAAAAGTAACAACTTCATCTTTAAAGCGATACCAATTTTAACTACCCATCAAATATAACTACCTTTTTTTCCAAAGGAAGATCAGATATTTAACACAGACAATATTCCCCATATTTCAGGGATGGGTCACAAATGCAACATTACAAACTAACATTTACCTTAAAGACAAACTCATATTTTTTGCTGAAAGACGTTCTGCTTCGTGTTGCTGCCATTGAGCTGCCATTCTCAGGTGGACACATAGCCTTGTATAGATTGCACAGTATAGTAACACAGCGTATTAGACTTTTGACTTGCACATTCACACTGCTAGACACACTATAAAATAACAAGAATATTATTTTAATTAAAAAAATATCATTACTGATACATTTTTTTACTTTAAATTTTAAAAAATTTACTCCAAATTCATGCAGCTTCTTGGTCTTTTTAACAGCACACCTACAAAAGTGGTTTAGATTTACAATTACAGTTTCAAAATATAGGTCAGGATTTAAATCTGAATACAAGAAACATACATGTAACTACCCACCTTAATAGCTTATGTCCCACATGCGTGGCCATGTCTCCCAAACCTGCAAGTATCTGTAGACTTCTGGCTTCATTGTGTTTACAAAGGAATTCTAGAACCTTGTATAACTGCATGACAAAAATAAGGACTTCAAATCAAACTTTCAAGATGAGGTCTGTATTTCACTTAATTTTGTAAGGAAAGGATCACTGGCAGAATAATTCTATAAAAGTTTTCAAATAATATCCGAAGAGATGCACAACATTATAGTTATATTGCTCCTTTATAACTTACAACATACATTTATCAACTTAATCAGTTAATTTAACTCGTTAACACAAATGCCTACATTGTCTTCCCTGTATGTCTCCCTCTGTACCATCTGCAGGAGATTTTCCAGTAACTTCGGCATAAACTGTAGTAGCATTTCACAACTCTCACTGTAGCCCTCCTAAATATAAGTTAACAATTCTTAATATACAGAAATGATTTATAGGGCATGAAAATTAAAAAATGCTAAGTAATACAAGACCCAGGGAGGAGAAACCTCAAAATAACAGTGACTCCCACAATGGCTTGATTGACTTAATTGGAGATGAAAGTGGTTCTTTTTGAACACTTGAAAATGTAAACACTGAAAGAGCACACTCCATATAGAGGCCCCAATGAGCACAACTACAGCACCCAACTATCCAGATTTCTGAATAAATCTAGTAGATTTCATTTTCATTTCATTTCTATTTAAGCCACAGTCATGGTGGCTACAGCTAATTAATTCCCCCTTTTCCCATTTCTCACATCAGGGAGAGCAAATGGTGCACTTTGCAGATAGAACCATAAAACTTACCTGCACAGCTTTGTCTAAAGCAGATTCCCCTTTGTGGTCTAGAAGAAACTTTGCTCCCCTTGCTAGCAGTATCTGAGCAGTGTCTCTCTGTCCATGACTAAAAGCAGATTTAAATTGTGACATAAATTGAATCATTTTCTTTATTTTACAAATTATTACTGACATGCTGATGCAAATGGATACCACTGAATGAAATTTTATTGTCAGGAAATCTATTTTTTAATCTCTATCTCTGGTAAATGACTCCCCCACAGCTCACTGGGATGCTACAAGCATCAATTTTACTACTTACTATAAACTTATCATATTTCACGAATGAAATGAGATCCCTCTATCTCTATGAAATTACTCCCACGCAGCTCACTGGGATGCTACAAGCATCAATTCTACTACTTACGATGAACTTATCATATATCAAGAATGAAGTACAGACTGTATGAAAGAACACAGGCAGACTCTTGTCTAGATATTTAATAATCTACTCAATCACTGCTTCATTTGCGAACTGGTCTTCAATGAAGCCTTTTCCTCTTCATATTCCAGTGCTGCACAGTAATAACTATTGTTTGATAATATTTGGACTTACTTGCAAGCAAAATGTAAAGGTGTTGCACCAAAATGATTAGTTTTATTGATCTCTGCCCCATTATCCAGTAAACATATCACAGTCTGCAAATAAAATGAAATTTTAAAATAAAGTAATAACACTGACACCCTAACATTAAAAATGAAAAGAAAATTCTTGCACTTGAACTGTGGGTTAAAGTATCAAATCACAAATGAATCAATTCACCTTATGATGAAAGATAAATACTTTGTAATTCCTAAATATCTTAATGTTTTCTATGTTTATTTAAAAGAAAATCATTAAATTGTGGTAATGCAATACAGCTGAGCATGCTAAACACCAATGATGCTAATGTCCTGTTGTTAATTCCCATTTTTCATGCTAATGCCTGAAGTGATCAACATGCACAGAAAAGATCTTCAAATGACTGGACATTATCATTAACTAGAGAGAAATGCAAAATATTGAGTTCAAAACTTATAATTTCCAAAGCTGACTGATATATAGCATTTATGATAATGGTATTTTGGAAAATTTACTCACTGATTTGTGTCCATTTTGAGAGCTAACATGCAATGCTGTTTGACCTTGTGAATCCTGAAATCAAATGAATATGTCAAAAGCATTTATGCTGACCTATTCCAAACATTTCTACAAACTTTTAAAATATCATCCACTGCCATAAGGTAAATAACATGCTAGGAGCCTTAAATATCTTACCAATTCAAACAATGTAGATGCTAAGAAAAAAATTTTTAAAAGAAAATTCAAGAAATGAACTATCCTTTTAAATATTAAATGAACTTTTAAACAAAAATTGTGGCAGTAAATTTCTCTCACCTCCACATCTACATCTTTCACATATAACAATACATCATTTAATATCTCTGTTCTGCCATTTACAGCAAGCCAATGGATCTAGAACAAAAAGGGTAAAGGGATCAAACTTTTTAAAAGTAGAACACAAATTGACTGACAAAGGAGATACTGTCCTGATTGATCCAGTTATTGCTCTACATCACATTCAAAATCATTAATGCCAATGCCAGTTTTGTACTAATATGACTTTGTAGTAGATACATCATAATCAGTTTGTAAATGTCTCTATGTTGATTAAGTCTTCATCCAAATAATCATTTTACTGAGAGAATTGACAATAATCTAATTAATAGTTTGTAACCTTACCATTGTTAAACCTTCATTGTTTCTCATGTTCACATCTGCTTTGCACTCCAAAAGCTTTGTAAGGCACTTTTTTCTTCTGAAAAAAAAAATGAGGAAAAATTAAATATGCCCAAATATTCTATCACCATTATTCCCAATTAACTTGGTGCTGCTCTCTTGTTATTAAAAAAAGTTCATCAGCATATGGTTCTATTAATATTTATACTAAATTTGAATAACTAAAATCATTTTTTTTTAATCCAAGTGAGCTAGTGTGGGCCCATTTATATTTAGTACGCTTTAAAAATGAGTAGCTTATTCTTATATTCAGTATAAATTTAATTTCAAATACTACTATAAAATATGCACAAAGAAGATCACATTTCTCTCTTACAAAAAAGGAAAAGTATCCCCGATTTCCATTCAATCCTAATACCTATAGAGGTCACAATGCCACACAGTCTGAGTAACCGTACAGGTTTTAACATGCTGTCAGAACAAGAATGGCACTATGGCAGTTATATAAGATATAAGTTAAGAGCGCGTCCATGAGAAAGCCAGACAGATCAGTCAGAAGGTGGCAAGGTGGGGGCTCAGCAGATTTTAATAATTTTNCAATGTACACCACTATCACACACGTACACCTTACCCTCTGTACGGTCCACAGTGACACCACAGGGGTCAGACATATCACCCTGACCAAAACATCGGATAACCTGACCTGTTGTTGAATACAGTCTACAGCATTTATCATGGCTTGTGACCACGAATCTATCGTTACTGACTGTAGTGATACGCCTCCCCCCTCTCTCTATACGGATCTCTCGTTTACATTGGCCTGTGCTGGAGAATACGGGCACTGTAATACCATGGACAACTAAGACACAACGGTCATCTGTGCACTGCATATCCCACGGCCGACATTTAACATTAACAAACGTAGTACGCTCTGGCATGTCAAGCCATGGAACATTCTGAAATTTCTTAAGCTCGGGACAGTGTGTTCTCTTTTGTTTCAAACTTCCAAAATATGCATCCAAGGGACCCTGGTATGTTTTGGCGGTAATGGACCCCGTTTTGATGGACAGCGGCCGTGGTTCAGGCATTTTCGGAAACTGTAGCACAACATCCATTTTTGTTTTCCCTGGTGTGAATGTTATTTTGGTGATCTTAGAATCAAAGACTGGTTCTAATGTCTCTAACTCCTGGATTCTTGTTTGGAGTTTTTTAGAGTGGGTCATGACCTCGATGTCAGAACCGGTTTCTGTGAGCTGCTGAGCAAAATCACGAATGCTCTGAATGGAAATCTTGTTCATTTCTAGCTTTTCCTTTTCAGCTTCTAAAGTCTTCACCTGCTTGGACGTAATTTCTTTAACTTTTGCTGATATTGCGTTGCTTTTTTCATCTATAGATCTTTCCATTTTGGTATAAATGGACTGTTTTTCTGTGCGATACCTTTCTAAACGCAGTTTTACACTTGTTAAATAAGCGTCGGTCTGTTGACCTACGTCTTTCTCTACTTGTTGATAATAAGCTTTGAACTCCATGTCAATAATTTTACTGTTTTCCTTTGTTTCCTTCATCATAGTTATTTTTTGGGAATCCACCAAACGAAGAACCTTTGTCTGATGGTCTGTTAGCCTCTCTTCCGTTCGCACAATGGCCTTTTCCGCCATTTCAAAACGAGACAGTTTCTCAGTAGGGAGACATTTTAGCTTTTCTTGTATCAGATTTCGCTGAACCTTTACAACATCTTCTATTTTTTTGAAATCGTGTTTACCATGAGTTTCCAAAATACAATCTCTACATGCCACGGTGTCATCATCTTCACAATAGAATGTCAGCAACTCGCCGTCGTGTTTGTCGCAGAATTGAGCTTCATCTAATACGTGACGTAATTGTTCTCGTATGTTAGCTTGGTTAACTGAGAAATGGACTTGTGATAGAGGTACAAAGTGATGTCCATTTAATGCAGGGATGCTGTCATGCAACTCCCGACATGTAGCGCACAGTTGGTTGGTTTTTGGACAACCTTGGCACAGCAAAGTAACCTCTTTATGCTTACAATACTCACAAAGTTTCCCCTTGGGCTCTTTCTGATATTTCATGCAGTCTGTCACTTTCCTGAAGAAGAAATTTTTCACAAGAGTTTCTAATCCACCTGGTGGTACGGGGGCCTCTTGGCGACACACGGGGCAGGAGAACTTGTTCTGGACACCATTCTTGGCTGCTTGGTCAGCAATGCATTCCAGACAGAACGTGTGGTAACAGGGGAGCACCCTCGGGTCTTTATATTCCCTCAGACATATATAACACGTTAGAAAGTTCTCGCTAAAGGCACTGCACTTCTCTTTCGAAGCCATTGCCATTGTATAGGTGCCTGGAGTGGGCACAACGCCCCACCCCCTACAAGACGCCCCGCTCTACTGCTGCCAAAACCGTTGCGTGCGCTTTATATATCATTTAATAAGTGATCTATACTACTTCAAAATTGTCACCCGATCGACACATCCCAAACAGGTATGTTGTCAATAACCAGGACGGTATCAAAGTCTACGCCGTATTAGCTGAGTGCATGACATATCAGTGATACAATGTGATGGGTGTCACCCCGCATATCCCCTTGCACTATAGTGTACAGTAGGTGTAATACATGTATTGTCAAAGTTTTGATAATCATAGATGATGAAATGCGGGGCGACATTTGAAATGTGCTCGCTTTTATTTAAACATTGTGAAAAAAAGAAAGAGGATGTGCATGTCACGTGACCCTTTGTTAAACAGCTTGGGGTGGGGATGTTCTACACAAGAATTTTCTTTCTTTATCTTTGTATGAACATTAAGATAGAAAGACATGGTGAGGGCATTGGACAGTGTTTTGATAAATTAAACCTGGTTGAAATAAAGATCTAAGCCTTTGTCTGCTATACATTCTGTACACCTATATAGCCATTGCCAACCACTCCCCCATCCCCTTCGCTGTACTGTTGCCAAAGTTGTTGTGTACGTGTATATATCGTTTAGTAGGTTATCTAAAGTAGGACCTGCTTTAAAGTTGTCACCGATCAACACACCACAATCAGGTGATGCTGTCAATAAACAGGACGGTATCAAAGTCTATCAACAACCATTAACTGTGATAATACCACTTCATCATTAAGCATTATAGCATTGAGTACAAGTACATTAAGTATTATTCAATGTTTTATGTCCAATCCCAGCGGGCAAATTATGTTGATTTAACGTTGAAACAACATCAAACAATAACGTTGATAAGACGTTGGATACACGTTGGATTTGAAAGTTGGATCAACGTCATATAGCAACATTGTATCAACGTCAGATAACAACATTGTATCAACCCTTGTTGTAGACAACATTCTTGTATGAAAAGATATTAAAATGACCTGAAATGTTTTTTTTATTTTTGGTACAAAACACAGGTACACAATTATAACGTACACTGTAAAAACATCCAAGTGCCTGCTTTGTTTCATTTTGTTCAACGCATTCAGCTCCTAAGCATGTTTTACACCTAAGTATGGCACACCCTTTTAGCCTGGATGTGCTTAGTAGTAGGACATGTTTGATGGCTAAATATATGTACGGCCAATTTAAGTTAGGATTTTCAGGGTTTATAGTTTTATATATATCGTCCCATGTCCAATGTTTTATCAAAGCATAACCACCTTTCCTCCAGTTAAGAGCGCGTCCATGAGAAAGCCAGACAGATCAGTCAGAAGGCGGCAAGGTGGGGGTCAGCAGATTTTAATAATTTTTGGTGTGGTAAACCATCAACATAAAAGATATTGTGAGCCACTGGCTTTCTTATTTTGGATCATTAGTTTTAGAGATATGGGGGCAGATCTTTTATTGGCAATTTTGCCAAAATATAGCATTTTTTAGCTCTTGAAAATTTATAATTGTAAATATTCTTTTAAAAATTCATGTACATCATAAGGAATTATTTAGGTAAGCCACATGATAGGTTAAGGAAAGACCTTTAATACCCAGTACAGATTTTTTGAAAAGGCACTGTCATGACCACACAAGGTTGATTCAAATAAGGCATGTTTTCCGTATGCTTGACCCCCTCCCCTTCTTTAAATGCACACAACTTCTTTTTTGCAGGTTGTATCCATATAATTTTGGTATGTGCTGATAGAACAGGGTTGAAAAATAAATTTTGTAAAATAAAATTTGTGTTAAACCTTGTAAAATAAGAACTATAACAATTTTAAAAAGGGCCTAAAAACGAAAAATTTTAGACTACTTAAATGCTAAACTGTTTCTTCAACTAAATCAATAGGTCAAAACCATGTATAGGTTTGTGAAAAGCCCTTAAAATAATTATGTTTGCCCTGAAGACGAACTTATGAAGCGAAAATACATTTTTTAATTTGTTTATGTTGTAGAAACTAAATGTAAAATAACGATGCTAACTCTGTGACCTATTTTCAACATGGCGGGTACTAGGATTATCACCGGAGCAACTGTGGAGCAAAGCACATCGTCTTCACAGTGTTAAAACATAATACTTTCTTAAATTTATGAAGAACACACACTAGAGATGCTTAGGTACATCTCAGAAGGATTGGTGTGCACCAAAATATAACAAGAAATGACCATAGCAGCTGGTCGTCCTTAGAATGTGCATTTTTTGGTTGAACCACTTCAGACTGTTGTCAGGCTTGGGTTCCTCAATATATCCATCTCATCGATTTAGCTCTGGATGTTTGTTGTAAGGTAAGTGATCAGTGGTGGCATACATATGTATACTAGAATCAGATACACTAAAAAGTCAAACCAGTCTAAATGATAAGTTTGAATATTATTCAGTAATATAAAGAATATAAGCAAATTAAAAAGACATACTGGTATATTTCAATTCACAGTTTTACTTGATTTCTGTTTCATGGTAAACATGTATGCTGAAAAGAATTAACTGTGTATCTTACTTATGAAGTATATTTTTGCATTAAATTCTAGGGCTTTGTTACATGTGTTATCATAACACTAAAGTGTTTTACTCTAATTCAATAGCAGAAACAAACACTTCTGGTACTTACTGAGAGTATTGCCTGGTCCTTCTGTTAATGTGTGGCACTATGCTGTGAGAGTACGTCAACTTGGAGGAGCTTTGTACTTCTTCACTGGTGAAGATCTACCGGGATCTAGGGCGTCACATGGGCTGGTGTTAGTTTATATGTGAGCGCCCCTGCGCAGTCCCCAAATGCGCAGCAGACATCCCAGGATGCTCTTGGCAGTGACAAAAACACTACACTCCCCCCAGTTTTATTGAAAAAGGACAGAGTATATACAAAGAAATCTCCCAGAGGTCTACTAAAGTTGAAATAGAGAAAAGAAAAATGAAAGTGAAATCTTNTAGGGCGTCACATGGGCTGGTGTTAGTTTATATGTGAGCGCCCCTGCGCAGTCCCCAAATGCGCAGCAGACATCCCAGGATGCTCTTGGCAGTGACAAAAACACTACAACACAAACAGTTAAGGACTACTACAGTATACTGAGCTTGAAGACAGCTTCATAAGAAATTTCTTACCCAGAATCAAAGGTATGTAACACACATTCAGTTTCAAGTTTTGGCATTTTAGGGGATGTTACTTGTGCCAGTTTTTTTTTTATATTTTAGTTTTATATTCACTATGCAGATTTATGTGTGTTTACAATGAAGTTGAAATTAACCACCTGTGCTTCAATTTTCAAGACTTACATATTACACAGAACACTTGTACAACTAAAAGTACTATAGTAAAATCAGGAAAACTTTGCGGTCCATTATGTTGTTCATGTTGTTTTGCAAGGGGGCGTGCCAGACAATTAAGCTTATAACAACGACTGAGCCCAAGTGTGATACTCCGCTGAGATAGATTGATCCTGCTACGATAGTTTTTATTCTGAACACAGTAAGCCTCTGTTGTTGTAAAGCATTTATTGATATTATGTTTATTTTTCAGATTTAACATCCTAGGCCTGTATGTGAACCTTGACCTGGACAATCTTACAGACAATAATAGAAAAGTCACCTGAAATTGCACAGGCAAATTCATCAGATTCAGATGTGAGCACCAACTTTGTAATGCCTGGAACACTTCCAAGTAGAAGAAAAAAGGTTTACCTTTTTTTCATTTGTTTCTTTTTCTATCATGAAATTCTGGTAGCTACAATCATGCATATTTGATTTCCTTTTTTACACTTATGCAATATGTTTGATCAGAATATTATTTAGTAATTGTTCTTATACAGCAATTAACATGAGTTTAAAATACATTTTCTTTTGACAGCCTGTCCAGCCATCTTCAGTAGACGCAGTAGTGGATATCTTGGCAAACCTTTATTGGACTTAGAGCCACCTTGGGACAATTCCTCATAACAAATATGCATCTTAGGCTTGGCAATCTCAATCAGTTTTGTAGGAAAGGAGGATTGGCGCCATTGAATTGACAAATATTGACAATTGACAGTTCAGTCACACTAAACTATAGTGGCATGTTGCTTCAAGTTACCACACTTATTCTAAGATTGCTGAATTATCATTACTGAAGGACACCCTGGATCTCTCAACCAGAAGAAGAAACTTGGGTATCAATCAGTTGTAAGATTAAAATCTGTGGAACACTACCCATCACTGTTGTGTTCAGTATATGGAAAAGATGACAGTGATATTGGAACCTTGGAGATTCACAACTTGATTTCACTCCTGTAAAAAGTACCTGCTTTGTTCTTTTACTGTCCAATTGATAATATGAAAATAAAGTACTCCTCCTGTCATTGTATGTTGCTGACTCTGTTTTAATTTTCTTTATAGAAAAAGAATATAGATATCAAGATATCACATGTATTTACAAAGCCTATGAATCATTTGAAAGGAAAAAGAATGGTTGAAAAATGCAATATAAATCATTTCAAGTGGATTAATTAGTGTTGCACTTGAGAAAACTGATAAAATGAGACAGTCATTCCCTTTTATAAGGGGGATAACTTGTCACTAGTAATTTAAATTTCTGTATTACAGATCTCAAAATAAAAAAAAAACTGCAAAAATGGGCCTCTTGATTATTTTGAGGAATTAGGGTAACTGTATTTTGGGACAGATTTGATGGCAGCCATTTTGTATTTATAAAAATTGGATAGATTTGCCCTTATCAAAGCATAGTTTGAATTCCTGGCTGTGAGTCTTTGATTAAATTTGATTATCCCTCAAGTGACCGAGTGGGGTCATATACGACCCCAGCCATATGATTTAATGTGCCATCTCTTTATTTTTTATTCGAATTTTATTTCCATGCATGAGTTTGTCAGTCTACTAATCCTACACACTTTCACAGTTTTTTGTAGGGATCAACCAATTAGTGTGGCGTATACATCAAAAACTCTTGTGGGGTCATTTATGACCCCAAAGAGCATTGGTTTTTACATATTAGTTTTAAAATTTTATTCAAATGTTTTGCCCATGCAACACTGACAGGAAAATGTCACATACATGTGCTTCATGCAACCAGCCAGTGTGCCCAAAACATAGGCACAAATAAGTGGTTTGTGAAGATTGTGCTTGAAGTGTTACTAATAGTGCATTGCTTAATCTAATTTCAGTAGCTTCGTTGGAACTTGTTCTCATAACTGGGTCTCTCATTTTGACGGTTACAATTTTTGGGTATTTCGGAAATCTAAATAATTCTGTCGATATCATATTATACATACATTAACAAATTGTGTGGATTTTGTTTTATACACAGATGTGGTAGTAACATACATGTAGGTTGATTGAATGTGTTCTGAGTAGTATGACTTCCTTACCAGCATTAGGGTATTCCCTACTCAGCAAGTCAGCTAATTATTCTTATTGAAGTTAGCAGGATGCTATCTCAACATAAATCAAAATATTTTTACTCAAAGTAATTTTGTAATGTACTTTTTTCATTTAGTGTGGCAAATAAAAAGAGAAATATTTCTGCAAGTGGAAACTGACAAGGACAGTCTAAATACCGGTGTATGTTGTTCTTAAAATCTGTGCTTGGTTATTTCATGCAATAAAAGTATTATTACCAAATACTTATTACATTAGATCATTATAAAATACTTGTCTTAAATCCTGGGAGTAGTATGGGTGTGATAAAGCCTCAACAGCCTTTTATAATAAGGATCCCTGTACAGAGCACAATGGGGTCATAAATGACCCCACTTGGTCATTTCAGTCAGTAAAATAGCTTGGTCTCTTGAGGGTTATTGGAAGGTATTATCTCAAAATGTACTGATATCTTGATTTCGGCCGTTTGGTTTTCTGCTAAAATTGCTAAAGTTTGAGGCACTTTTTCAATGTCTTCTGTTGTGTTTAACACACTTTTTGAATTTTGTATGATTAGACCAATATATGCTTAGGATCCCTATAAAATTTTATGGCTGTCAAGCCTGCAAAAAGAGAGATATGAATGCTTGAACATTGCTTGGTAGAAAGTGAGTTTGGGGGGGGGTCATAAAAATGGGCGTGGCTTGTTAGTTTGTGGGTTAAACTGNTTTGTATGATTAGACCAATATATGCTTAGGATCCCTATAAAATTTTATGGCTGTCAAGCCTGCAAAAAGAGAGATATGAATGCTTGAACATTGCTTGGTAGAAAAGTGAGTTTGGGGGGTGGGGTCATAAAAATGGGCGTGGCTCGTTAGTTTGTGGGTTAAACTGAAATTTAGTAACATATTCTCAATGGCAAATGGCTGGTTTAAATAGGTAAATTTTCAATTAATTTTAAAAAGTCGTCAGTTTTGACATATTTGCTTATGAAGTGGCTTTATTGACCGAAGCTGAAAATTAAGCCAAAAATGGCCAAAACATATAATATCATATTATAATTATATCCAATGATTTCTTTTGGGATTGTTGCCTTCAATCTTAATATCTCCTATATATGCAACAATAATATGAATTTGGTTGAAATCTGTTGACCCCCACCTTGCCACCCTCTGACTGGTCTTATCATGGACACACACTTAAATCTATACTATTTCTTCTTGTGGATAATAATGCATAATCATTGCCCAAAAGTTGTACTTAGTAACAATAAAGTATTCTCTTAATTCTATGACAGGATGACAGATTATTTCCCTACCCATTCCTTGCAGACAGATGCAGTGCTGTACATCCTGACACATCCTGGTGGTTAACCTCAGCTCCTTTCTTCAAGAGTAGTGCCAGACATTCATACGATCCACAACTAATAATAGGATAACATATTTTACATTTCCATAAACATCACAGTAAAGCAATGCATGAAAAATCATAAATATATATTACAATCTTGAGAGTTTGTATAGATTATGATGCTACCACAGAAATCAGATTACATATATGAGCTCTGTATTTTCATCAAAGGATTTTTAGCCATAGAACAAAAACTAACTAGCAAACTACTGTTTAAGTTACAGTCCACTGCAACACTATCATAACATGTCACCAACTATATAATTATATGCTTTAACATGTAGTTGTACTACCTCCTAATAGGCATTCAATAACTTACTTAGCAGCTATGTGTAACAAATTTCTCTGTACTCTCCCAAACTTGTAATTGATATCAAATGAAGAATTTGCTAGAAGTTCAGCAACTGATCTAAAATAAATCAATGTATTTTTGTTTCAAAGGTATATTTTGCACATAAAACATTTTAAGAAGAAACAGATTTAATGTGAATACATACAAAAAATGCATTGATTCAAAAAGAAGGACTAAACTGAAATAACACGTGTATGACATGAGGTATTTTCAAAAACAAGAAATAAAAGATATAAAATCAAAAATTATTTTTTATCAAACCATATGTGCATCTTCAAATTATTTTTACCTGTGCTGATTAGCAATGATCATAGGCAAAAGAACATAAACAGCTGAGGCTGCATCTGCAAAAGATATCCATATATTTAATATGTAAAATAATAATATAATATAAAATGCTTAGGACTGTATGATCTGTATATATACTAGCAAGCATGTGTTATTTCAACGTGAATAATTACATATATGGTCTACATTGTGTAGTTTTCTTTTCTTTCATTTTTTATTGTACTGGTATAGTATCTTGTTCAAGAGTTTTTATTTTACATATAAAAACTTAAATCACAGTAAAGCCTAAGAGCAGTCAGACAGGCACAGCTTTCTATATTTATTTCAGTCTTTTAGCTACTGTACTGTATATCTGGACACAATTAAAAATAATAAACATACAAGAAAAAGCACCATTACTAGTTGGCATGCGAGTTGGCAATTATTAGCAATCAAAACATGATCCTACATTGGAATTTATATACAGGTAGCAATAATAAAATGAGTCTGAATTTTCAATCCCATACCTTCTGGTAAATCCACAGTCCTCGCTTTTTGTAAGGACCTTGCAAGATGCTGTAGAAATTCCATGCCCTTGGTAATTAGAGGAAACAAACTCATAAATTAGAAATATTCCTTGTTCATGTTATAATTGTCTCATATGTCTGTAAAACGTATGAGGATCTACACATTCACAAAATAAATCAACATTTCACCCGACCAAGAAAAAGCTAAAAATAGTATTTTTAAACCTAGGCTATAAATAGCAAACCTCCTGATGAGTAATGCCTCCCCCTCAGTCACCAAAACAAATTTCCATTTCCGGCTTTTTACTAGAATCCACCGCTATTTTTAAGCATCCTCTTTAGCGAGCTTATCCCTTTGTTTCATTAACGTAAGATCAACATTTTTACTCAGCTTCGAATGCACGGATCAGTACCTACTCGAGGTAAAACTTTTCAGACAGATAACTGATTACTGTAAACAAATTGAGCTTTCTCTGGGGGCTGCCATCTTTCATCTCGCGAGATCCGGCGAGGCGAGTTGAGAAAGCGGGACATTTCAACAAGCAGGGAAGCATCTTATATTATGTATCTCTTCCAAGCTGACTGTCCTTGTGCATTTCTCTTTCTGCTCGTGATAATGTAATTTAACAACTCCTTTTATAGTTTGAGCAGATAAGCCTGTGCAATTGAGCGTATCGAGGCAATGAGCACTGCAGAGAAAAAGGAATCTTGCAGTGATGGATTGGTTTCTTCAGAAAATGCCAAAAAGTTGACAACATTGCCGATTTCCGAGTCCAATCACGGTAAAAAAAATAATAATAATAACCCACGGTTGTTTCTTTATAATGATGATACATATGTCTAGCTCGACTCTGGCTGTCTACCAGATGTGACAAGAAACAATTGAGGGGCATCGCAGAAGCATAAGTATATAAAATATATAAAATTTTGCCTTACACTGCTGTTTTCCGATATCTATCACAAGTGTACAATTTACCTTTTTGGCAGTGTTGACAAAACAATTGATTATATGATTGATTAATTATTTGTTTGGATTAACAGTGATGGCATAAGTGTAGCAGGGATCAAAGTAATACCATGTAAATAAATAATTTTACTCTCAAAGCTTTTTCACTTGTGGATACAATCATACACAATTTTTATGAATTATTTGTAGGCTTATTTAAATTTAGCCAGTATTATCTAATTGTTTATAGTGATTGGGCGTACTGTTAACTTCCATCTATTGATCAATTTAATTGGGAATATTTAGACTGTAAACAACAGCACAGTTGGATCAATATTGGGCCCATTCTAGTAATGAGAAAATAAGCAATTTAGCAGCTGAAGCATTAGAAATACTGTTGAATCCTGACTCCACTACAGATTCCAGTCACACTTATTTTTTCCCTAGTTTTAGTTACAATTGTTTTTCAAATGATCACTTTGTTATGATGTAAAAGCTGAAGGGTCTTGATCTCTTTATCTTTTATCTGGCAAGTCCCAATAATAATGTAAGACTTTTGGAACATTAAAAAAAAAAAACATTTAAAAGAAACATACGTATGTATTACCATGGAAGTAAATCCTAGATGATAAATTTCCATGGCATTACTCACAGTTGGATTTGTATCTAAACCAAAGCTTTCAACTACCACATAATTTGAGACCTGCAGAGTCACCGCAGAGTGGATTTTATGGTGCACTGACCTTGTATAAACAATTCCAACAGAAATAATTTTTGTGAAAATCTTAAAACCATTTGTGCCACTTCTTATAATTTCATTTTTTATAAGGAAGCAGCTACATTAAAAGCAATACAAATATATATGTATTGGATTATGATAACAGCAAGCTCAACCTCAGCAGGGCTTTTTTTTTTCTCTTTTTTTTTCATCAATTTTAGGTTCTCCTCTGAAAGTTAACAGTAGTTAATTGTTATTTACATGTAAACTTCAATTTACAGTTGTGAAGAGCTACATAGACAGATGTAGGATAGCTGCAGCCTTGGCAATCATCAGATCAAAGCCCCAGGGTGTAACGGGCCAGCAGTTTGCCAAACAGCTCTGTAGTTTCCATCAAAGACAACTCCTGGATTGGCAGAAAAGGGTTCATGACTTGGAGGCAGAGTTCCTAAAAGTCAAACAAGACCAGTTGATGGAAAGAATGAAAATTGGTAATGGCAAATTAGGTTGGTATTGTACATTGAAGCTGGATACAGTTTGTGGGATAACAGAATTTATGCCAACCAGAGGATGACAGTTTTGTCTCTTGAGCACGTGGGTTCCTGATAAGAAATTAAACACCCTGAACTTAGTAGTGAATTAAGTTTGTTCAAATAAAAGTTTGAAAGAAAGGCTTTGCTTTCTATTAATGTACTCTGAAACTTGGGGTTGTAAATTAATAATGGTAATAGGTGGAAAGATCTCTTGCTTTGAAAGGGCATGGGAGTACATCAGAGAATTGGCTTGATTAAATGGAATTGACCACCGTCTTGATCATTTCATGATGACCTAGAAAAGTAACTTTTATGTCATAATGGATGTTATTTCCATTACTCTCCTTTCTTGCTTTCCTATTTTGTCTCATTTGAAGTTGATTAAAATGTTATTTTATTGTAATAGTTAATAAACTGCATTTTTATTATCCTCATGGAAACAACCCATGCACACCAAAAAAAAAATTGGTCGCTGCTTAACATATATCCATTTTCAACTTTAACAAAAGAATTTTTGTGTTTGAATTTTTCAGCTCAGGAAGAGGCAGAAGGCAATTTAATGCCGACACCACCCTCTTCATCAGGAGGGGAACACACACAAAATTTAAATAAAGCTGAAGAAACAATTGTTCAGTATTCCCAGTTCCTACGGAGCATTATACAGTTAAAACATTACAAAGAAAGGACAGACATTAGTCAAGACCCAGAGTCAAAATTAACAGTGGAGAAAAGTATATTGAAATGTATGGATATGATAGTAGCACATATGCCATCTGGAGACAGAAATAGCATGGTGTCCTCTAATATTTTGGAGCAGTCTGTGTCCACTTTGGTCAGTGTTCTGGACAGTAGACCCCTAGAGGACTGGTCAAGTACCATTGTCCAAGGCCTACAGCACACACTCGGGGAGCTAGTCAGGAGGATGGTTGATCAGGATAATTTTCATCAGGTATGCACATTTTTTTATTAACCCTTAAATTTTAAAGGTTATATTAAAGGTTAGGCCTTTTGCATTTATTTCAGCTCTCATGGAGTATCATCTCATTGAAAATGTTAATAACACTTTATCTTCAAAGATGTGCCCCACCCCGCCATATTTTTTTTCATACCTTTTCAAGCACATTTATTTTTGTTTGTTCTTTAAAGGATAATCCACCACATATACATCATTTAGGCTCTATTCCCATAGTTTTTAGATCGATCTATCCCCGCAGGGAGTCACACTAGATTACTTTCAGATAATCCGACTTAAATGTCCGTCCTGCCTACTACAAGCTGGAAGGGAGTAATTAACTTTCGTGTCCGCCCGGCTGACAGCTATTTAGCGTGAACCCCCAGGGAGTTAGGTCGATCTAAAGTAGGTCGATCTAATCTATGGAAATGGGGTGTTAGATATTTATATTATATATATATATATGTTATTAACCTGGCTGCAACAGCAGAAGTGTGTTAATTTGACTTAAATTCTGAAATTTAACATTATCTACAGCCTTTGATAACACCATGAATGGACCATATTTACACATTACTTAGATATTTAGTCACGTCTAAAGCCACCAATCAATCAGGTAGATGTGATCTTTTGATGGTTTTATATTCAGAGGACTGTCTCTTGAGCATAAGGATATATGTTCATTTTTTTAATTATGGATTCTTTGAAACATGCATGAAACTTGATGTGTACATGTTTTTACTTTTATGTGCTTAAAACATCACAGTGAAATACAGTGTTGATCATGATAATAGAAGTTGTCAGTTATGACTAAGGGGTCCTTAAATTGGTAGAGCTTTTTTTTGTGGTTTTCAGTAAGAACTGAAAACTCTGATACATGTGGAATGGTTGCTTTTTGATATGCTGTGAAGATAAAGCTCAGGGGTTTAGTTCTTGAAAAAAAAAAGTTTCTCCGTAGTACTAAGCAGCGTGTCTGTTGTATCAAAAAAAATCTACCATGTGCTCCTCATTCTGACTTACTTTTCATCGCACTGATGAAATGTGCACAACAAATGTCCAAATGAAAATATAAATAACTGCACATAACTAAACTTTGGCCACCCTGGGATTATGTCATAGTTTCATTATAACCATTGGTGTTTACCATAATGAAAGAATGGACTGTGTAAACAATTGATGATTATTATTTTTAAGTGGCCTTTCCTCCTGCGAACATTTAAAGCCACACATTTGAATGTTTTTTTAATTTGGTATGTTGCCAGGGATGTTTTTCTTGGTAAAGATTGGAAAAACAGAATAGTAAAATTATTGCACCTGAATTGAGTAGGTCCACGCTAGCATATTTTGGATATCGATAGAATCTAGAACACACACACACACACACACACACACACACACACACACACTAAATAAATTAACTAGATGGTGTCGATGGGTAGCCATCGCATATCCCCGCACTTCCCCATATTATCAAGAGCAGCTCACCCCTAGGGACCACTTACCACACACGCACGTACACACGCACATACGCACACACATACACACACATCACTGCTTCATCCAAAGGTATTTAAAAATATAAATGTAAAAAAATATTTATAAATATAAATATAATAGAAAAAATAGAATCACCAAGCTCACTCTAATACTCTGGGAAAAGACTTAAATAAATTTAAGCCCATAGACAGTTCCATCCCCAGCCACTCTAAAATTCCAAAGTGCCCATACACTTCCCTGATGATGGGTAAACTAATCACCAAAGTTTCAGCTTCCTACCTGCAATGGTCTAGGAGATAGCAGAAACTGCAATGTGAAAATAATTTAGAATCAACCAACCCCCAGGGACAGCCCAACCCCCTGTTGCACTAAAATTCAAAAGTGCCCATGCACATCTCTGATGATGGGTATACTAATCACCAAAGTTTCAACTTCCTACCTGTAATGGTCCAGGAGAAAATAGCAGAAACTACAATGTGAAAAGAATTCAGAATCAACCAACCCCCGGGGACAGCCCAACCCCCTGTTGCACTAAAATTCCGAAATGTATATGCACATCCCTGATGATGGATCTTCCAATTCCCATAGTTTCAATTTCTTATCTCTAACGGTCTAGGAGGAGATAGCAGAAATTACAATGTCATAAGAATTTTGAATCAACTACCCCCAGTGACAGCCCAACCCCCTGTTGCACTAAAATGCCAATGTGCCCATGCACATCGCTGAAGATGGGTCTACCAATTCCCAAAGTTTCAACTTCCTACCTGCAATAGTCTAGGAGGAGATAGCGGAAATTACTAACACACAGACACACAGACACACTGAAGGGCGGGATAACATGATCCCCGACTTTTGTCCCAAAAGTGCAGGGATAATGTAAATGGAAGTTCATAATGTAATTAAAATGGAATTGACTTGAAAAAACTTGCTAACAATGAAGAAAAGGTTTTTATTCTCTTTTGTTCTTTGTAACTGTTCTCCCTGGTGAATATTTAGTTAAGGTTGGGTTATTCAGTACTACAGGATAGCAGGCCCCACAGTGCAGACNAACAGCCCGACAGTACAACTCTTAATAGATTCTCCTGTTATCTGAATGAATGGATATGACGATGTTGTTTAGCGTCCTAAACTAACTGTACTGATCGTTATCTTGCACCTTGGGCCGCACACGTAGTACTCAGGTAAAGGTACGCTAGGGCAACATTGCCGACTTTTAGATCTTTACAAGCGCGAGAATAGCCCGGTGGCCGATTTTAAGGTGTACGAAATTCTCGAAATCAAGATCGCGCAAAATTGCTGACTGGCCGAAATTCATGGTCCAGAAAAAACTCCAGACGGCCGATTTTAAGATCGTTCGAAATTCAAGAGCCGTTCGAAATTTATGGCACTTTACCGTACATTTCATTTACATAACTTGGACACTTTGGGACCAAAAATTTTCTTGCAATTTCTCAGAGATTCCAGTCAGCCCATTTTCTTTTTAATTTTAGTTAATACCATAGGTAAAATCCTTTCCATAAAGCTTTGTTTGAGAAAAGGGGTTATTCAGGGTATAAGGTGAAATTAGTTACGCAGAGTCTACATATATAAATATAAAAAAAGGGGTAAACATGATATCAAGAGAAAGAAAGTTTCCTAATCGTTGATGATAATGAAATTAACAAACAAAACCATACAAAGCGAGACATTTTTTTTTCTAGTATTTTCAAATGATCTTGCTTAAAATGAATGGAAGCATGTTATTTGCGTAAAGTTGGCAGCAGAAGAAAAGAATACTGGTCATCTTTTCCTTTTGTGATTGATCTCCCTTGTGAATGTTTAGCTTCCTTTTTAGCCACTAGTTCAATATATCCTGTACCAAGTAAGTAGACCATGAGGGTCATTTGTATCCCAATTCCCATTTCTGACCAAAAGTTAGCAATAATGATAGCTTGGAGAATATTGGCCATACAGATGCTTTACATATATTTTTACCAAAACAAGATAAAACAAGTGAGCTTGTAAAAATTGTTCTTTAAAATTTGTTTCAAGCAAAAATAATAACTATCATGTAATAAGTATAGAATATGATCTTATATAATTTGTGAATCCAACGTTTGATAAAACTCTGTATATATTATTGACTAATGAAGTAATACATATTTTTTGACTGGTCATTGTGAAGGAAGCATCATTAATAAGACAACAAACAATTTAGCAGATTATAGCGATATTGCAACTTTTGCTCCTCAGTGGATATCACTTTTCTGAGGTCGCAAAAAAACATTTTGACTTTGGCCAAAGTCAGTGTTTGTGTGATATGACTTGAGCATGTTGTAGGTAATCATATTAAAGGTATTCATACATCTATGCACTGTATACGTAGTGGTAATTAGAGGAGTTTGTGCAATGACAAAATAATTTGGCTGGATTCCAAACTACTTTTTTGTTAATTGACATTTCATTGAAATGGTTTAGCTGCAGCAGATTATCACTATTTTATTGCTTGAACTATACCTTTTAGGTGAAAGTTGGAGGCAAATTATATTTTTAGATGAATTTTGCAATTTTATTGGATGATTGTGTTGGCTGTCGTGGCAAATTTTATTTTCTTTCTGATCTTTTTTTCTTCTTCATTTATTTCCCACTGCTCTGGAATAGTATTAATTATTTTGAGCATTTAAGGTTCTTTTTACTTTTAACTGTGCATGTGCACTCAACTTTTGTATACAGGTCTCATTATTCATAATCCCAGAAAATGTAACAAGTCTGAAACAGTAAGTTTAAATGGTCATATGAATGATGTGAATTAATGTGGAAATACCCAGGATACTGTCTGTTTATTCTTTCAATCAGTAGCTTTAATTTCAGTTTAGGGGGTATTCATTGAAAGTAATACTGATTCTTTATCAGGGTTATAGCTGTTAAGGTATAGAATGTTTGAGAATGGTAGAAACTGATATGGTAGGATACACCCACGGACAGTCCTGCTTTCAATTACTTTGTTTATTATTGTTGGAGGTGGGAAGGAAATTTGTTTTTATAAAAACTACTTGATAAGGTAAAGGTGTTGCTGAATTCCAGCTGAAGCTTATGAAAATATCATTTATTCCATATGGGATAATTTTTGAAAATGGGTGTTTTAGAAAATGGAATTCAATCAAAGAAAATATTTGTTGATGTTATCTGTGAAAAGACCACATTCATGAAGAATCTTTATTTTTGGTTAAATTGTCTTCCTTATTGATAAATGAATTTTGATAAATGAATATAAATATATTGCTAAATGACTAGTAAAAATCTTCAAAATTTTGCAACAGAATATCTGTAGCAAATGTAACAAGTTTTTTCTTGTTGTTTTTCCAGAACAATAAACCTGAACAAACAAGCTCTCTTCTATTCCTCTTTGGAAAGTCCAAGCACTTCAAGTTCACTGTGGTGGAATGTTTTTTCACTGAACTTCACTTCTTCTCTGAACATTTGAGACAGGTGTGTTATTCCCATGCTCCACTACAGGTGAAACAATATGAAAATATGTACTTCGTTTTCAAAGTATGCGAAGAAATTCTCAATCTGGAGTGTTGGGTGGATAAAAATTGTCATCATGGGATCATGGATCGGTTGAATCTTCAGAGCATGCAGGAGATTCTTACAAATTGTCTACTTCACATTTCAGAGGAATTTCCGTTGTTTGCTCACTATGTCTGGAGATTAGGGGCTCTGATTGATTCAATCTCTGCAACACAAAGCTGAGACAGTGACTTCACCACAGTTTGCTTACAGAATTCTTTTGTTAACTGTCTTTAGTTGACATGAACTTTGTCAGTCAGTTCTGGAATCTTAGACTGAGTTCCCATCCCTAGATCGATCTAACAGGATCGGTCCATCTCCACAGGTGTCTCACTAAATTGCTTTCAGCTTAAGTGGCTCAGATGTCTGGGACGCTACTAAAGCTGCTAAATGAAAGTTAATTACCCCCTATCAGCCTCAGAAGGTGTGACAGACATTTAAGCTGGATAAGTTAATTGCAATTAAGCGAGAATCCCCTTGGAGATAGTTTGATCCAAAGTTAGTCTAATAGGGTCTGGGAATGGTCTCTTAATGCCATGACACCATTATAAAATCTTGTTTATATGATTCATTTTTTCTTAAAATATGTTTTATCAAATTTGAGAAGAGATATACAGCCAAATGTGCCTTATTTGAAGTGTCAAAATGTATTCTGAATGTAAAATAGAAATTAAAACAAATTACTCATTCTTTATCCTTTAAGTATATTGTATGGAAATAATAACAAAAGAAAAATCAATGAACCTCTTAGAATAATCCAGATTGTTTGATTCCATTTGAAACATGTTCTCAATGAATTTCCCCAAGGAATAAATATCTCAAATATTAAACATAAGTTTTGCAGTCAAGGGAAAGTGAAATTGAATAAGAATAAGTGATTTTTCTGTGATATGGGCTTATGAATGTTTTGTCTCTCCATTGCTCTATAACTTTTATCCTTTTGGTCTCTGGAGGCTGTAGAAAGTAATGGATACCATCTTTGCAGGCAAATCTAGCCAAACATACCATTGGGGAATATCACAGGCAGCATTGATATCATAGTAGGGCAATCAGTTTGCTAAGATTGACATGAAAATAAAGAAACATAAGCTAAAACTGCACTGGTATACAAAATGCACATGTTAACATGTTTAACTATCAATTTGTCGTGTCAGTCAAAGGTTTTATCAGTGGTGATTCATCTCTGGATGGTCACACTTATTACAATAAGGTGGATCGCTGCTGGGCTGGCAACTGCCTGATGACCATGACTGTGCAAAAATGTCTAAGGACTTGTTCTTCTTTGATGTTTACCTTTAAACTGCTGTTAAGAGTATGACAGGTTCTGTACTAGTATGTCAAAACATTCAAGTGGAAAGCTTATAAATTGCCAAGGAATTGGAGATGGAATTATAAAAATTAATAAATTTTACTGTGCTCTTCATCAAGTTTTTATTTTTTTATCAGCCATCACTACAGTGTACATATGCCTGTTAATGTGGAATTGATGCTCTGTTGCAATGTTTTTATTTTTTACCAAAAAGAATTGTGAAATTTTCTTTAAGCAGGTGGTAAAGCATGTACCGATACAGTTATATGTATTTATATGCTCATTGTTTCTGGCATTAGACCCAAAAGTTAATTAAGTACTACTAACTAGTATTTCAAGCATGATGTAGGTTAAGTCTGGATATGATTTAAATTCAAAACCAAGATGTGTTAACTTTTATGATCTTGAGTGGAGACCATGTCAGGATCTCTTTTGGGGTTACATAAAAGGTGTTAAACTCGCTTAATACTATTCATTATTCCTTTTTTTTTTAGCCCAGTGGCCCATGGCTCAGTTTTCACCAAAAACCAAAGTCAAACCAAAGTCAATTCCTTGGCTAACATCTTTGTTACCAATGTAACATGGACACAGGCACACATCTTACCCTATCAGGAACAGTGTTACAGCACTCTCATGGACACTCATGCACACATCCTAGTCAACTATAGATTTAAGACCCCATTCCTGTACCTAGATCGATCTAGCAGGATCAACCTATCTCCGAGGGTTTTCTCACTAAATTGTGTTCAGCTTAAGCGGCTCTGTTATTAATTACCGTTTAACAGGTCCAGTGGGCGTGCAAGATATTAAGCCGCTTAAGCTGAACACAATTTAGTGAGAAAACCCTCGGAGATGGGTCGTTCCTGCAAGATCGATCTGAGTATGGGAATGGGGTCTAAGATTCTTTGTGAAAGGAGGGGCAGGGCCTACCCTTTACCAAGGCCACAGGCTGAATTTCCACAAGATATTAACAGATATGTCTCTGGTTAAATAGATGGCTATTCTCTGTACTGTGAAACCATAAATGTCCACAGAATAATAACTGAGGGTAGGCAGGGCCCACGTTTCACATAAGAAAATGGTCCCAGAGTTTTTGTTAGCTGGAATTTTGGTCTACTTAAATGCAAGATAAAATTGTAGTTGTTCATTAAATAAAGTAACTCTCTTGGGGTCAAAATGGACTAAATATTTGATCTAAAAGTTCAGAACAACTTAGCCAAAAAAGTGCTAGGAGCATAATTGGTATTTTAAAAAAGGTTCCGTTTAGAACGTCGTTGCTTACAATACTGAGATAAAACAATGATGTTAAAAATAACACAAGTGATAATGTTAATAACTAATATTTTTAATGTGGTTTCCAATCCCCGCCCTAAGTTAAACCTCAACCTACTGACAAAACGGTTCATAAGTCTGTGGACATTTCACTTGCGGTTGTCCCATGATTTGATGTAGTCAATGTACCTTAACAGGCTATTTTCACCACTAAAATGAGTGTCATGAAAGTGAACTGATCTAAAGGGTCTAAGAAGGTCTTAAGGGAGGAAAACCTTTTATTTTGGTGGTATTATTATTATTAATATTATTATTATTATTATTAATTAATCTGGCTGAAATTCTTGGGAAATTTGGTTACAGACTAAAATCGATTGGCGACTTGAGCTCTTTTCTGAAAAAGGTCCCAAGATCGTTCCGCTTATACTGTTGTATAATGTGGCTCATTGTAATGATATCCACAGATGCGTTAAATAAAATCCAATACCAGCTAATTCGGAAAGCACATAAATGATTTGAAATGCCAATCCTTTTTACTGTTGATTTGAATTTGAGTTTTGATATGAATGGGTATGCGCGTAGCTTGCTTAACAAATCTTTGATTTTTCATCTCGATTTGTTACTAGATCTAGTGTATTGATGTTATCTTCTGTGAAGATCTGAACATTTAAAGCGTAGCTTGGATCTGCTGTACTCTCCTCGAAGTTAATTATTGAATACCGTGGGCGTCTATCTCTTTTATGGTTTGCACCCAGTGAACGATTGGCAAAAAAGCTTAAATTAAGTCCCTCAGTTGGATTCATTTCCTGGATAGTAATTCGAATTTCTTGATATTTTCCACTCTAGTTATTTATAGAGGGTGTTTTCACGCTCAGCTTACGAAGATCGAAGTAAAAAACTAACAAGTCGAATGGCAAACAGCACTGGTCAGATTAGTGAATTTAATTTTTTTATATCGGGATAAGCGGCGCCTCACTTCCTGAAGCAACGTCATTGAGATCGATGGGCCTGAATTCAGTGTGAATGCGCCTCTAGACATTAAGTAGGAACGTCGATATGTGTTTAAGGTCGTGAAGAATACACCATTTAAATTACTCAATTCTCATTGAATTGTCAACCCAAACATGCTTTAAATTGAGAAAACAGAACATGGTTGCAGCGATACACGAAGAAATCCCAAATGAGATCCTGTTATTTATCTTGTTTAAGTTAATTTCACGATTGTGTTGCTTTTTCCTCCGCAGAAATGGATCTGGCATTACATTCAATACAAGTCTAATCCGAATACAGTCTTGGCACTGGTACCCTGAATTTGAAAGACTTTAGGCTTGATAAATTCCGATATTCTAAGTCTCCAACCCTCTTTAATGGAGGTAGGAGGATCGATCTGGATCTCTTCCCGCGGTTATCGTTGACACTCAGGCTGGTTGTCGATTTTAAAGGAATTGCTGTTTGGTTGTTGGAATGATGGAAGCATATATGAATCAGATTTAAGAAGTGAAATGTTTGATTACAATATAATTGACTTATACATTTTTTTGCTATTTCAGATTCCATTCTGTCACTGTAAAACTATTACTTCCTATAGCTAGATAACTAAATTTACCATTTCCCTCTTTGTATGTTAAATTCACTATTTTTACTTAAGAGAAACCATTGGTTCGGAATTTATGCCTTAAAGTCTATTTCTGTTATGGTGTTAAGCAAGAGATCGTTCATCTTTCCCGTCCTCCCGTCCCCTCTCCGTATTTTTTTTTAGAGAAGTTATGCTGTCCATTAGTTTTTCGTTATGCGTTCATTCATACCGCAGAGGGGCCATACCTTTGCATAAAAAAGAAAGAGAAATAAAAAAAAAGGATTTCAGAAACATGCATTTTGTCAATATGGTAGGCAATTTTAACAGGCACCACAGGCAATATGAATATCCATTTCTGTTAAAATGAAGGACGGTTGTCCCTAAAACTTAGCTTAGTTGCCATGTGCATTCTGCAGATGTTGTTATTCGCGTGGGAGCCTATCCAGAAGTAGAAGTAAGACACTTAGGAAGTGAACACAATTGATAGAAATCCTCTCGTGACTAAGAAGTAGACTAGAAATATTGGTCAACGTATACCATGATCTAAAGTATTCCACAGGGCATAGCGAATTGTGATAAAAAGCCGAAACAGTACCGAGATGAAAATACCGAACATCAACAGCGCTTCTCTTATAACAAGAGTGTCTAATGGTATCAGTGTAATTGGCCAAATTGTCCCCCTCCCCCGGACAACGCTCGCTGTTGTTCTGGGCAATAAGCATCTGAATGAGGGTGGAGTCTTTATAACTTAGCTCTACAAACACGTTATTTTCTTGATTACGTCGGTGACGGAAATAGTAGTGTCCCAAAATGAATTGTTGGGTGGGGCCAACGTGACTAGACGTAAGTCTTAACTAAGCTACTTGATAAAGGAATCAATTCACCAGCAATTGATTAATAAGTGTTAAGTCCTGAAGTGTGTATTTGACTTGCAGTTTAAATCATTAAATAACTGGTACATTTATTTGGTCGCCTGGTGATGCATGTTGGACCAAGACCGGGTCAGGTCTACTTTTGTGCTTTTGTAGTTGGCACAGGTAGGCCTACATGTAGCTCTGGAACCTCCAGTAAAGGTATAACAAACGCGAGTCAGCATATATACACTGTTCTTTCAGCAAATGGAGATTTCACCAGTCGCGATAAATCTGAATCGAAAAAC